CATAGAATGCTATTGCACATTCAACTTCAAGGATACCGCTATCACCTAACTATACCATTTTGTACGCATGTTAGTGCATTGTACCAAGCTTGTAGCCTGAACCATTTTCGAAATTGCATGCAGTATTTCAAGTTAGCGAGGCTAAGAACGCTGTTTCAGCGTCGTTGACACTCTTATTGGTCACGGGACACACATCAATTGGACAGCATTTAGTAGCCCAGAGCATAAGCGACCGGCAATCCAATGAAGGTGGTCAAACACCACTTTCTGTTCTCGGTTGATGCCTATATGAAGGAAAACTTGATGTTTGGCCTCCAAACTAAAACCACCAATGCGAAATTTGTGTTGCCTGTCTAAGGAAAATATCCTAGCTACCACATGATTCAAAGCTTGATATGTAACAGGTGCGATCAGACACACTAAACAGCACCTGAGGCGGTCTATACCGATCGCTGTCAGCCTCATTGTGGTGGCTTATTCAGCTGCCTAACCCTGGTGGCGTAGACAGGCATTTTTCTAACGGGTATTCCGCAGATCAGCAACAAACGAGAAGCGGTTAGACAATTGTGTGCGATTTTCATTGTAAAGGTCATGAGGGACATTGTTTCCATTGAAGTTGGTATACCAACCTGAAGCTGAACAACAAAAATGCTAAATTTGCTTACTTCAATCAGAGTTGATGTCTCATCAATAAATAATAGGATTCCAAGTGTGACGTTGACACGACGTTAGTGACGGTTTGTTTGTCTCCACACCCATAGGCGACTTTGTTACTCATTTATTGCTTCAGCTTCTCCAAGTATGGCGTTATTTAAAACTCATAGGTACCATTTTCTCCCTTCGGATGTTCCGTGCCTGATATGCCCTTCCGACTCAGCTTATCTTTGCCCACGCATAACCGATTTTCAAATAACGCCTTGATGAAAAGCTTCTAAGCTTGCATTAGTTAATTTAGTCAGTTCCATTTGGGAGACGAAATAACGCAAAACTAACAGGTGGCACAAAGGCCCTCCTCGCAACGTGGCAGCGAGGATGCATGCGTAAATGTCCATTTGGTTAGACTGGATGTAGTTTAACATGAATAATACGGCACATCTGTAAAATGAATATACAAGTGAGTGAACGTTGTCTTTTCCCTTTTATGTATTTCACAAGCACTTACTGAATTATAACATGTATCCACACTAATGTGCTTGTGCACATCTCATTCCCATTGCAAATGGTTGCTACGCAGTAGTGAATTTTACTCGGTGGATGCATGAAACAGCGATTTACATATTCGCTGATCGCTCAAATTTTCATGCTAACTCTAACCATCCCACGCGACTTGCCAAGCACATGCATTTTTAGCCACGATAAAAAATTGTTCGTTGTGCTTTATATATTTTGCATCACATGTATCATTTTAACTTTCATATACTGACCGCTCCCGATGATGCACAAGTCAATATGGACATAGATATTCTTAGTTGAAGGACGAAAAAAGTATGGACAATAGTTTACTCTATAAAGCTTGACCAACCCCAACATATGCGTTGCCACCACAAACTGCATAAACTGGATCATGGTTTGTGGATTGAAATGGATGACACTAAGTATCTGACAAATACAATTACTTTCACGGTGTTTTGTCCCAATAGCTCCAACATATATACGCCAGCCTATTCCGTAAAAGCATTAAAGCGTTTCCCCCCATTGGTGTTCGTCAGTGTTGCGCATTCACTCCGTCCCTTACTGAGATCAAATCCGTGACCGCCGGAGGCGGAATAGTTGTTTGATCGATCTGTTTTCCAGAAGCTCATCACCGGCCAAATTAGATCGAACAGTTAAGGTAATAGATATATTATATTGAAAGGAAATCGTTTATTATATTTTAGCTTTTGAATAAAAAGCGGTTTCTAGGAAAGCACTGCATTCCTTATCATAACTTAGCTACAAGGAATACTGTGAAATGTTCGTTTGTATCTGTGCACATACAATATACATCTTGCTCAGCTTTCATCAAGGCGTATGGTTTCGCCCAGTCTGAGGTGTAAACAGCAGCTGACGTTATTTGCATAATACACCCATGACGCATGGAGCATGATTATGTTAGGGAATTAGGTGAATGCCAGCGGGCAAGCATATATTGATGATACCATCACCTCAGCAGTAAGGCCAACAACACCAATACTATTCAGCTCGAACTAACTCGATAATTTGGGACCTTCGTTTAACAACAAACCTGAATCCATACTTAGAGCCTCTGGATTCCAATACATGATGCCTTAAGCAGAATGCCTTTATCTATTATTTTGTGATTCACAATGAAAACTCTACCATTACGCAATAATATGCAAAAAATTTCAGTCAATTTGACTACTGGTTTTGACACACAGATAAGGCCAGCAAATTGTTATAATCTTTGAATCACCCATAGTTGTCCGTGCCAGTACACGGGTAATTTCTATTTACAGCTTGAATAATGTTGCTGAGAATTACAAGCAGCGAACCCATCATTAATTATCGTCAATTCATTAACTTAAACATACGCTGCCTGCGGTAATTCTATTTTGATTATTTTTATTCGTATGTTTGCAACTTCGTACCTATTGCTATGTACATGAACACTGGTACATACTACTGAGCATCTATATTTAGAGCGCACGAATCACGACACAGAATACCCTATATACTTCTAGCAAATGGCCTGCTACCGTTCGTCATTTTTTTTAGCGATTGCCGTTTTTAAGGTAATCATCATTTCATTTTAGTGCATTGTGCATTTTCTTCATGCTTTTCAAAAATAGATAACTATCAAAAAAGTTCTGACAATCTTCTCTTATGCACGCGGACTTTAATGCGAAACGCTACATAATCAGTCGTATAACCCGACCGCATTTCTTCTGAATGCGGTAAACCTAGTTAAATCATGATATCAATCCTACGCTTCCTGCTGATTCAAAAACATTTGATGGTGAACAAATCAAATGTCAACGCAATGAAATTTCTGAAAACCTTATGTTTTAGTAAGTTAAAATGCCTATGTTAATCCTTATGCAAATCCTTTTGTAGTTATTTAGATTAATTTTATTGCAATAACTTACCTGCAGGTGACTTCTCAAGTGACATTATCTAACGACGAATGGTAATATATATAGCATTAAGGAATTTGAACTTTCAGTCAATGACACTGACAGGTGGCGCTTACTCCGCACATCCGAAATGGTCTACAAATAGGCTGTCGGTTATCTATGCTTCGGTATCTAGCGAGGCCTATAAATCCGTCGTTGTCCTTTTATTGAACATCCGTCTTACATTCTTTATTGCTGATATTTAAATATTCTAATGATAAATTGACATACGTGTGTGCAAATTATTTCCAACTTCTCCAGGACCGTTGAACCCACATAAATTGCATTTTGTTTGAACACTGCGCAAGCTTAGCCATTTGTTAATCTTTGCTATAAACATTGTGCGAGCTAAAACCAGTCATGTATATATGTCTCCTCGAGCTATTAACCGATAGCTGGAAAATACCCAGAGGATGCTGTTCGTCCGTTTTGCATTCGGGGCGCAAAGTGCTGCCACCCTTAACTCGCATGACGTTGTAAAACAAAAGTTCTGTTTTTCTCTATAAATATAGGTTGTATCCAAAAAGACGTCATTACCCTTTGTCCGAAGGTAATAATGTAACGTGCATAAGTGGCATCCATATCTGTACATACGGGTTAACTGGAATTGACTTAACTTGACATCTGATTTCATACCAGGATGCGTTAGACCAATGCTACTATTGCTAGTACTGTTTGTTAACCAACATGTCAATTCAAGGTTTTTCAGTGGCAGCAATGGCGCAGCATCGCTAAATTTTATTCGAAAATACAGGCAATCCATCTCTAAATATTTGCTGCTAAATAGTACAATAAAGATGCTTTAAATTTTAAGAGAGTACTTTTCTTGTGGAGATCAGTAGAAGCAATAGAAATTTCATTTACATATTCACTCATATATTTTGGCCACAAAAGTGAGCAATGCTTAATCGTTTATTGTGAGATTAACCCAAGCTGCATACGCATGAGCAAGCAGTGTGCCTCGAAAAGAAGCTTCGTTGTCTAGCATGCTAAATGGCGTCAGCAATAATACACCATTTAGAACAATTGTTGCCCATGCTGGTTTTACCTGGAAGGCTGCACGACATGAGTGAGCGATTCATTTTGATATCAATTGTCGGGAACTACAACCTCGCCGCACAAACATTGATTCGCCAAAATTTGTTGTATAGTTTCGAAACACTCGCTTGTGTGCATTATTATGGCTATTGTTTAAGCCGATGACCCACACATCTCCAGAAACGGTTATTTGCAAACTAACCATTCAACAGGATTGATAATAATCAATTTATTACTTGCCAATCATTATGGTATATTGCTCATTGCTTTGCGAGAATGAAACGCTCTAAGCACAAGCGCTTGTTCATTTTGCTGCTTCAAACTTACTTACTGAATAGATCAGCAGTCATAATTATTTATCGAATTTCTACATACAATTTTTTCATTCTATTGCTTTTCAGAATTAGTAGTGTCTGTCGTCACGAAGCGCAAGCAGGCGGTCCAATACCGTATTCTTGTGAATGTTGCGGTTAACGCGTTTATAAGTTTCGTTTACGTTTTACTCCTTTATATAGTTTGTTATTTTACAAAAAGGTGTATTTAATTAACAATAAGATAATAGTGCAATTTGGAAATTTCAAAGGGAATAAATAAAAGTGTGTTATTATGTATATAAAACAACTGCATTTTGTAACATTCTTAAGCGTGCTGCAGTTAGGGAATGTTGATCGAACGACGTATACTGCATTGTATTTCCTGTCTTAAGAATTCAGGTAATTTTTAAAAATAATAATTTGTTTAAAAGGACCAGATATTTAGTGTCCATTTCAAAGGATGGACCGTCAAAAATTGTTCACTTGTATACGTTTGCTAGATCAATTATTGTCAGTTAGCTGAATTAAGTAACTTCTACGTGACACTGTTGCTAATACATTTGCAAAAATATGATGGTAAAAACTGCACGCGTAAAATTGGCCGATAACTGGAAGCTGGTACCATCCGCGACCCATTATGGCGCGACATATAATGAGCCCAAATAGCCATAGTTGAAAACAACCATTCGTTTCTTGTAAGTGTCGATGTGTATATTCCAGTACCCGGTTTGCACTCAGTTTCTGTGCCGTAGTTTCTCACACCCGCTAGCAGCCACTTATTTGTGTACGGTATCTTGCAATATAGTCCACTTCTGCAGTCTCGTTCACACGAATCCTAGAGGGAAAGTGACGAAGAAGAAGTAGTGAATAGTTAGCAATACGACTTTAATTTTAATTGAGAAATCACAAGGCTATAGCAATGAAGACTGCCAGCTCAGATTGTTTAGATGGCTGTTAAACTGTTCGCTGTGCTTGGCAATTGTGTTGTAAACGTTTCGCCACCAATCAAGGTGACATCATCCGTGCGTAGTTGAGTGGCGTGCAATAGCGTAGAGTAGCTTAGAGGAGCCTCGTTGAGAGGGAACTCTCACCGAGGCTCCTCTAAGCTACTCTAGGCTATTGCACGCTACTCAACTACGCACTAATGATGTCAGCTCGATTGGTGACGAAACCTTTGCAACAATGTTGCCAAGCCCGGAGAAATGACATTTTGTTAACTGGATATTAAACCATGCACATGGGTTATTTGCGTTGGCATAACCTAACAATTTGCTGTAATTAACCTAGCGTCCTTGTGTAACATATTTTTAAGAGAACCGTAGAAGGAATTACCACTATGAGATCATAAGAACTATCTATCATCCTTCTTTGTTTTTTGGAACTTACGGATTATTGTTTGAATTTGTTCCGCCACACTAAGAGTTATTTTACTAAAATTCTTATATCGTTTTGATTCGCTTTGCATTTTCTTCCCTAAATCTCTTCACATAAAAATATAATGTTTACACAGGCCAGTATAGCATGATATTCAGGTCGTGTCACTTTATCTGACAAGCCGGATTTCCATAATGATGATTTTATTCATTGCCAGTAATCCGATTAACAATTGCTTTAATAATAGTTCATAATAATAAACTATATATTTCTTTGCTTGTTCTGAGAATAAGTTCGCTAGTTCTAATTGCTTACATAATAAACTAATTACAACCACCCACCTTGGATATTATGAAATGTATGACAGCCGTTTTATTTGTTAACAGCTAATCATAGCGTAATCTCTATATTTCTCATTACTATTCCTTTTTATTGTAAGTGCACTTGGTTATTTTCTACCTTCGATTTATATTCCGACTTCATTTTACTTCATGTAATTGCCACTTCAGGGCTATTAGTGCAGGAAACCTAGGCATTAACTGGTTGGGCCGGGTGCCGAACGGGTTCTCCGATTTAGATCAATCAAGAACTCTGAGCACTTCTTCAGTGCTTAGATAAAAGATCCACTCAACATGGAATGCAAACAGGATTCTCTTCTATTTCCACTCCTGCCCGAATTTAAACTTGAACTGAGTTAAATTCGTGTTTTCACAGCTTCAGTTTCCACTAAACCCACAAAAATCCTTATAGGCTACTGAGATATGTAGTTTTTGTTATACTGCCACATTTTGAAAATTTTATCGACATATCTGCACTAAATGGAAAGGAAGCCATGCACCAATAATTGAAATAAGGTGTCAAGTGTGTATAACAGAGATGCGGCGGTTTATGATGGCGGAGACGGATGGATCTGGCTGCTTGCCTAGACTGGATGAAGCCCTCGCCTGTAACCTCTACGGATAATATCTAATAATAATATTGAATAATGACATGCTTATACGGTGCATTAACTGCAACATGGCGTAATCGCCGAATGTCATATTTTGCGTGTGGTCAGCCTACCCTCGACGGAATAAGGGAAGTATAAATGGGGTATTTTAGTGTTCTTCATATGGCGCAATTCGGAAATCAAGGCTGAGGCACATTTACACATGCTGTCTTTTCGCAATACTTTACGTCTCGGAATGGGTAACAGGAATAGTACACATTGAGCTGCACGCTATCATTGCAAGTAGAACTGTTTGTTGGAAAGACGGCTAACCTTTTTGTGATTTCCGTCTACAGGAACCGGACAATTTTTCAAGCTGTAGTTTTTTATATAACCAGATATTTAGTTCTCATTTCAGAGGAGGAAACGCCAAAAGCTTGTTGTCACGTATACAGTTGCCGGATCAATTTTTATGTTAGCTAAATTAAGTAGCTGATACCAACACTTACTAATACGGTTGCAGACATTTGATAGTAAAACTTGCACGGGTAAAATTGTAATATTAATTGGAAAATGGCCCTGTTAACTTGGCCTTCAGGAGCTACATGTACGACTTGCGTTAGTCATTAGTTTTTTTTATATCCGATGGTCAATTCTTATATTAGTTCAATAAAGAGACGGGATGCCAGATTGACAAATGTCAGGAAAGAGTCCGTTAACCTGCAATAAGGAATCAAGACCCATTTCCGTTATGGTAGGTAACATTAACGTCTACACTTTCAGTATTTTTATTTAAGTTTTCAACATCCATGTCTTAAAATATGTCGAAAGTTACTTACCTTCAACCTCCAACCTGCGCAAAGTTGAGATTCCTTTCGATGTTTCGGATAGTACTTAAGACATTTGCTTGCACTCATTATTGGCAGCGCCATCTCCTGAAGTAAAACTGGCTCCGACTTATTAAATTTAGACGAAAGCCCGTAATCGGCATCTGTGTGACCTGAGTTCATCGGTCCGTAGGAGATGTCGAATGAGTTGATTCTCGTATTGATTTCAAAGCTGCTTGGCATCTGCCTCAACCAACAGTGTAGCATTGGGTGTTGTGTTCAAATTCAATAGGCTGTGTTGCTATGCAGGCGTAGTTAATCTCCTTATCTGCAACGTAGATAGGTAACAGTATAGTTGCGTTACACAACATGGTCCTGGATAAACCAGGCTTAATTGAGTTATTTAGCAACATATCAGGAGGTTTGGGCGAAGGTATCTAGATTACAATACTAATTGGCCAATAGAAAATTACATGTTTGCAACAAGCTAATTATCATTGACTGCGTTACACGTAGTCTTCTTTGTTTGCTTGAATTTTTGGAGCCAGTTAAAAAAAAATTGTAAAGATTGGAACCTCACCAAGTATATTTACGTAGGTGTTCGGTAATCCTACTTGACTGAATACTATTATTCACGCCTAACTAATGTGACCGCAAATGTTCTCAATCTGCCGGCAAGCTCAATTGCCATGCACGTACTAGACTGCCCTATTTGCCTAATTCCACACGAATCGTTCCTGGTAATTATCCAACAGCTCTATTGCTGCCTGCTACAGTTTGCTGAAGCTTCAATACTTTCGTGGCTGAAACCCAATATTTACAGAGAGACCGAGTTTGCGAACAGTAACAAGTTGCCTTTGTAACTTTTGTTGACTGTTTTAAAACTGAGACGTTGAAGGTTGCTTCTTTTTAAAGCAACGCCATTTCCTGGAGCTTTTGTTAACAGCGCATGCTTTTCTTTTCGCTATTGTTTGCCATGCATTGGTATTATTTTAGTATTTATTTTGCACCTCCTTATTGTTTACCTCTGTGCTCTCTTCCTATCCTTTGCTTACTTAACGTGGCTGCTATTGCAGGGACAGCCTGGACAGGCAACGTGGGTATTAACTGATTGGCAAACTCAAACATTTTTTAACTATTGGTTCAAACATCTGATTAATATGGAAACTTCACATGATTATTCTATCGTTCTAGTCCCACCTGAACTTGAACTTTGGCATACCCAAACTACCTGCATTAGGCGTGCCATATAGAAATGTTGTTGCTTATTGCCAGGTTATTATTTTCCAGTAAAACCACTTGCATGAAATACATAATTTCCCTGGATAAGGGTTATCTGCCAGATTGAAGTGATAAACGCAGCTATTGCGCGCATATGGGTCTGGCTTTGCAAGTACATTGGAGAAGTAGAATAATTATTTGCGCAGGAAATAGTGCTCATCACAAATGGTGCCCACATAGGCTTCGGTGCCAGTTTTGACAAAGCGTTTTCCTCACAGTTGGCAGAGTGGGAACCGATTTCGTGACTACCCAAATTATACCACCTTGATCGCTTAACGTGACGGTACGGTTTTCTTGTGGTACATTGCAAGTCACTTCGACATACGAAATCATTCTTGTTTTATTGGTTAGGTTATCTGGAATAAGCATTGTTTTACCTACTATTTGATGATTAGAATGTTTAGAAGACACCCAATGCGCACTGCGATTGGGAATACAGTATCCAAGGAAAACATATTTTAACTGCTGATAGTTACCGACCTTGTGAACCGTGATCAGTGGAAAAGTAATATCCACGGATTTGATAAACCATACAGTGACAGGCTAACTTCAGTGTAGCTTCTAAACATATATTTGCACCCAAAATGCTGCTATCCTCCGTAAATTCGGAAAGTAGTTTAGGCAGTCGAGGAAGAGAAGACCGTTATTTGCCACACGTTAGGCATTTGTACAATACTTTTGCGAGGAAATTAGTGTTTTCTTAATATTGTCATATTCGTTTATTAGTTCATAAATAATGATATTCTCATATATTAGTGTAAAAATAGAGGAAGCCAAAAAATAATCACCAAGAATTAGTTGTCAAATTTGAACGCACTCAAATTTGCAGGTTTCTCTAATTGCAGTAATGCCATGTGATGTCCATTAGATATTTTAAAAGTATCATAGTAGAAATTAACGAACATCGTTTCAATCAGGTATTTGTTAGCAGTTCCATTATCCGCGCTGCTGCGATGATTGCCCAAATAAGCGAAAAGTGTTCTGTTCTTGGATAGCACTGCAGGATTGGCTGTCCTGAATTAACAACCAAACCGTTATCTATAAAGCAGTGAGCCGCGATGACGATCAATTTTGGGGTAATCAGCGTTCCACTGCAAAGGTAGTCTTCCTTTCCTTCAGCATCGCTTGTGATCACTCGAACCTGAGATTATTTACAATAAGTATGAACGGGCAATAATGCGCACGTGGTTTATAAATCTCATAGATAAATCCGTGTTTATGTACGTAAAATAATTCAACGCTGCATCTATTAACTACATTTTATCGTTATCATCAATTAATGACATAAAATACTGCAAAAAGTTTCGAGCAGAAATAAACTATTAAAACGTTTGCTTGAACATTATATCTAAGCTCGTTTGGAGACCTTAAGTACTGCGCAAAAGTTAGTGTTAAATAGGGCTTAAAAGGTAGGGTACCCCGTTCCTGAGTTGAATAAAATTATTGTTTGCTTGAAGAAAAATAAATATAAAAGAGCACTAAAACATTATTTCCAGTAAAGTTCAACAATGTTTATTGGTCATTAATTCGCTTGTTAGCCCAGTAAATAGAAATACCACTTTTTGGAACTTTTACAATGCTTCTATTTGATTTATGCCGTTTAAGTAAGCTCTCAAACGTGATCATAACACACATCACTGCAAGGAAGAAACGATTACGTATTGTCATAGCACTTCCAGATAAATAAATATTTACAATAAAATTACATAAACATTTCACTTAAGAAATAAGAATACATTTGCTCCATAAATATCAAATTAAAACGAGAAAAAAATGTAACAAGCATTGAGGAAAAATGCAACAGTTTGCAGTTTGGACGTGTTGCCGCATGCCGTCACGGAACACATCAAAATTTTAACTAATGTACTAAATCTTACGTTACTTTATATATTTGGAAGTTACCGATGAACAAAACATACCCAAGTTTCTATTCTATAAGTAATTTAAAGAGCACAAGCTTCACCGCTGTTTGGACGAGTTTTAAGATAGGTAACATTTAGCTGGATGCGGTGATCCGTTTGTCCAAAACTCGCTTGGAGGTGGCTGAACGAAATTCCAGTAGCTTCACTCCTATCCAGCACAAGCACAGTTTCTTTAAAACATTTTCATCAGTTCATAAAATATGCCCCCTAATGGTAAGAGTCCGAATAACAATTAAACGCACGGGCTCCGGACAGGTTCCACGGCCGCATGAAGAAAGAAAACAAACAAAAGTCAACTACCGGGTCTAAAATACCCAAATATTTCCATTTGTCTTTCCAAGAAGATCCTGTAGCAAAGCAAGTCGGGCGACTGGTAGCCAAAGTAATTCGATAAATATTTAGTGAGGCTAAATTGGTCCCCGTTTGGATAAGCAGGGAATTATAACCGCCTTCGTCTAAGCTTATCCTACCTAGTATCGGTACGACACATTGTTTTTGCCACATTGGCTATAATTGTTAAAATGTTTACATCCGGAGTACTGATGGATGTCATCATACACGAGTCGGTGAGTAATTTAAAAATTTTGTTGATGCCGTTATGTGACGTCGAATACGAGGAGAGTTGTTAAGCTTCAAATTGATTACCGCGTTTGATAACACTCACTGCGCATATATCATCAAGTTAATCCGGCCGTGGCGTTCCTAATCATCTACTACAAACTAAATGCGAAAACACAAACTCGCTGAAGTGGTAGCGAATATTTGCAATCGCTCTGAGGCTTATGAGTAAAATGAGCTATCACTCTCAATTTTGTTAGGGAAACGAACACTTGCCTCCATAATGTTGATTCTGATGTGGTAACTGTGACATTATGTTCCTTCGCGTGCCAGTTTCAACTGCTGATTAGTTGCAAAAGGGAGCCTTTAAAATGTTGTAATTTAGCATATGTGCAGCGAGCGTAAAAAGTATCTCCAGCAACTGGTGTCTTCTTATTACACTGTCTGTAAAAAGCGATTTGCTCAGGCACTCCTTATTAGGCAATTGTCAAATCACCGGTTTTTCTTTTATGCTCAGTTTGTTCATGTTTATGATAATTTCATGAAAATTCAGCTTCAGCTTTCAGGTATTAAATTACTTATTTTGCACCAATCTTCGCACAATGATTACACACTTAGCTTTTCTTTGTATTCATCCAGTTTAGCAACAAACTCAATTGCTGAAACATACTGAATTAAAACAAATAGTCTTCTTTTTATTTCTGTAGTGTATAAGTTTCATATTTTTTCTTTGGTGTCTCAGCAAACAAGCCTGTTATTATTATATGTCACGCAAGTAGAAAATGAAGTGTTCTCGATGATTTCAAATTCTCACTTGCTATAGTCATATAATAAAAAATGTTTGAGTGACAGCATCGTACGTACTTTACTAGGACTATTAATCTAAAATAAGTAGTACATTTGAAAGGCGATTAACCGTTTTTAGGATGTCACCATTGTCGTTACATAATATCACCCTATGCTAAATATTGTTAGCTATAAATATGGCAGCAAATGTTTTTGTAGAATTACACGATAATTTCTTGCTTTCTTCCGTCTTTACACAGGTACCCGCGTGATCTCTTTTATGATGTTTATAACGTTTTGAGATTTTACATGCAATTTTACCGCACGATCTGTAGATTTGGTGCAAGCAGTGCATGGCGTTAGATTTTTTAAGCAATAGATGATCGGTTGCAGTTTTGAGAATTACACATGTTCAACAGCACAAACTGCACTCATTGGAGAAGAAGCGCGATTAGCTCACGTTTGTTGACATTTTCCTTAGAAATGCTTGTAGTCAATAAATACTTTACTCAATAAACATATAACAATACCGCAGTTTCCTCGTTCATGTGAGATGTTATACACTAGAAGCATCGGAGCTAAATATTCCAATTACTTGTATGCTTAAAACTAATGAGTTTTATACCTAATATTAACTTTTTGAAACACAGCATAATTGAAACTGTTTCGCTGGACTTTTCCCATTCATTTGAATCA